TGGGTATGTGGGAATTCCTCATATTTTAAATATTGATTTGTAAATTGTTGGTAATATCATTGTATAAAGATTAAACAACTGTGTATTAGATTGGATATTGGATGATTAAATGTTAAGGAATCTCACACTGGCGAGCAGAGGATGACCTTTGAGGAGTAAGTATCTTTTGGAAAATTAGCATAATTAATGAGAGGGGAGGTGTCCTGGGCTATAAAAAGTGGCTGATGACTGGAAGTGATGTCTTGAGACCGCCCTGTGGGTGGGGCGAAACGTGTTGACGCACTTCCGGTCTGCCGTCAATACGATCTAACGTCACTCCCGGTGAGTGGAACGCACGCTGAGCGGTGCGTTCCAAGCGGCCATCTTTGATGTTGGAATACCCGTTATCCTCTGCATATCGCAAGGCTGTGAGGTTCCTGCTTGTACTGTGGATTTATGGATCTGTATGAGCCGATGAGGCTATTAAACAAATGCTTTCAACTTTCCTTGAACATGTGAGTGGCCGGGCATTATTATTTTTATGTTGAGTGTTACTGGCAGTATTACGCTATGGTATCTCTTGCTCTTGCACTTTTGGGGAGCTCCTGAAGGAATGAGTTGGAGGAGAGCAACATACCAGTCAAGGTGGATAAAGAGATCTGGTGAATTTAGAGGGGGCATAGGATCCCTAAAATCCTAAAAGGCGCAATACTCACCAACATTTGGTGAGTGCGGTTGATGTTGATTTGTCACTGGTGGATGGTGGAAGCACTATTTCTTTGGGAGAAGAATTGTGTGTTGTGTTTATTATACACTTTTGGGAAGGACTTTTCATTCATATTAATTTATATTTATTTATGACAATTACTTTGTGGACACTTACATTATTGATGTTGATTTATTTATGGTGAAGATTTTATTTATGTTTTTGCGCTGTTTTATGTTTTTTCTTTATTAATTGGTGTTTTACACTGTTGCACAGCAGCATACGGTCACCTTTACCATATACAGAATTAATTTCTTTGTGCGCTGGGGTTTGTGATCTACTAATAGTATAAGCTTGCCCATGAGCCGGCTCAGGCTAAAAGAGTGCTGTACAACAGAGGAGAAAAAATACTGCATACAATTACCCTTTTAAAGTGAGAACAAGCAGCCTGGGGAATCCGAATCTACACAGCTTCAGTGTGGAGAGATCAATGCAGGAACCTGCACCAGCGGGAATAGAGATGAGTAGGCACCAGCTGTGCTGCTTCTTCTGTATGCAGCTGCTGGCCAGCTTTATAGTTTGGAAGGTGGGTCTCCCAGGACAACCCTTGGGGGCCGTCTTTTATGCTGTTGCATACCACCTCTGGCACTAGTGCCGGGGTTGCCTACCCCTGCTCTAGAGTGTTTGTTTTGAGTGGAGAGAGCTCTCTCTGGGTTTTGTAGTTCTGGATTGGGACCTAGAGTATGAAGATTCCAGAGTGTCTTGGATGGGATGGAACCTTCAATCCTGTGTCTGGATACTGCGCAACATCTGAAGCCTGTGTGAGTACACAGGTGTGCAAGGCTGTTATAAGCCAGGTTTGAAAGTAGCTCAGAGGAGGAGGAGTTTCAGTTGCTGCCATTTGAAGGCAGAGCCCTGTCAGGAGAGCTGGGTGTCCCTGCTGGAGACTGCATCACTTTTGAGGGGGATTCCTTGCTCAAGAACTGGGAGTCGGGATAGCTACGCGAGTCCGGGAGACCAAGAGAGGGTCTGGGAGACTGAGAACGCTGAGGTGGCTGGTAAAAACTCTGGAAGAGGGAGCATGCTCGAGGGGCTGGAGAACCCTGTTTAGAGGCCAGGGGAGGGTCTGTGCAACCTGTGCCTGCAACCAAAGCTGAGTGAGCCGGAAGAACCCATGGTCTTGGGAGACCAAAGTGAGCAGTGGTGCTGCTTACAAAGGAGGTAGCTTGGCATTTTTCATTGTTTGGTTTGAAAAGTTGAAACCCTGGGTGACTTTGAATGGAACCATATTTTCATTTTAATAAAAGTGGGCTGCCATACCCTAAATACAGTTCAGACTGATGTGTACTCTCTTTAAAATGCACCTACCATTGATCTAACAACCCCCATATCACAACAGTAACAGCCAAAGATATAGGCTGACCCTGTCTTACGTGTTCACGATGCTGAACTTTATATATAAAGTCCAAGCTTCTCCTGACATGGTGCATGAATAAGTTGCCTGTGTCCTGTACTATACGATGAAGATAAACTGCTTATGTTACCTGTACATGATTGGATAACTGAAGTAAATATTCACACACTGTGTGAAAATTTTTTAAATATTTTACTAAAACAGCCTTGTACTCTAGGGCCAAGACAAAATGGTGAGGGGGGTTGTTACAGACTCCTATGAGGCATATGTTCTGGCGGCACACAATCTTGTGTTGACCCAAAAAATGTCAGCCAATCACATTATCCCAGGAAACCAGCATATGAAGCAGGACCATGCAGCCAGTTAGATGAATAAGCAGACTTCCATCCCCTAGAGTATCCCCCTCCCCCCCATTCGGATTAAAATTGGACCCTAGACTACTGTTTGAGGACAGGATGTCTCCATTCCTTTGAAACCACTTTTCTAAGATGCGCGTTCAGTTTGTAGATTCTGTTGGGATGAGATGGATCTGTCCTACTGTGTGGTGGTGTAGATGCATTTCCCCAGCATGATGTCTCTGTAACAGTTACATATGTGTCCATATGGTTTGCATTTATTTTTCTGTTTCCCTGAAGAAGAGAATCTTGAAATGCTCAATATTTATGATCAATATGTTACCTGTTCCCTTGTTTTTATGATATTTTAATGAGATTTGTTGAATATAATTTGTATGATTTTTATAATTTGTGTACTGATATCTATGCCTTAAAAGTCCCATTCCAAACTGAAAACAGCCTTGTAGTAAAGATACTAAAGGTAACCTTTGATCCTGCTTTTTGCTCTTAGAATATAAAGAAAAAAAAAATCTGCATGCACACAATAAAAGCAATTTACAAGTGTTTAACATAAACAAAAAGATATGGCAGTGCATCAAGTATTTGAGCTGTTGCAGGAAAAAAATGATATTAGTTTGAAGTTGCAAAAGTATGAATAGGACAGTTCAGACATTCCTTTGACAGTGGATCATTCCACTGTGGTCTCAGTTTAGACACAGATTTCATAACATCATTAACTTTTGCCTCACTATGGTTTCCTCCCAAATTAGCACATCTTACAGTGAACTGTTCATTTCTCAAGAGTGTAAAGACAGTGGTACCTTCATAGTCCACTCCAACAGCTGTTTCAGAATGCACTTCTGTGTTTCCCAAAATGTGCAGTTTAAGCAGACTTAGAAGTGCTATTACTAATAAGTAAAATATTATAATTTTTGGTCAAAAATCAACAGTTAAGTGCTTATCTCTAACCACTTCCCTATATGTTGACGACTACAAAAACAAATACAACAAAAGTTGTGGTACAAGCCTGTCACAGGAGGAGCACATGTGCCTTTCATGTGTTTGTGTTGCTTGTAATTGCCAGACTTCATCTTCTCCATGCTGTGCAAGAGGCTAAGGGCCAGTTCACAGCACAAAAACGCACTCTGGATACATTCTGGATGCATTTTTGCTTACAGTTCACACGACGCTCTGTTTCAGTGCGTTTTGCTGTGTTCCAGTAAAGTTCTGTGCAGAAAAAATGCAGCATGTTCTACTTTTGTTCTGCACCAGAAAAAAACTGACTAGAACTGACTGCACTTGTGTGAACTAAGGCCCTTGAAATATGGAAAACACTGTGCATGCATTTTTGATGCAGAAAAAACCCACACAGGACTGCATCTGGAATGAACCAGCTCTAAAAAGTATAATAAACTGGTTTTCTGGGAACAGACATGAACTTTTTGTACTGTGATAGTACACTAGTAAAATGTTTATAAACTGAACAGTCGTTGGCTTATATATATACTAGCAATAAGAAGGGTTGTTTTAGAAAGTTCATACTTACCTGTGTTCACAAAATGTAGGGGTTGTCAAGAAAGTTTAAACAACTATGATGGAGAAAAAGCTTGACAAACATGCATTACTATTCTGTGACTAGCATAATGTACGCTGGTTATACTCACCTGTGGCAATGATCTATGGGCGATTCATTGACTAATCACAACTTGCAATGATCACTGTTTATGACAAACCTACAGTGGTTAACTTTTTAGGGTGTCTGAAGTACTCAATGCCACATATGAAGGCTTTCCAGAAAATCTCCTTGTAAATGGGACTTGACCCTTTGCTATTCTATTAAGAACATTGTAGATAAAAGCACCAGGAGTGTGTCACTGGGTAGCAGCAATCTTGGGATAACTTTAAGGAATAGCATATATGTCCCTGCCCTTTGTTCTAGCTGAGATATCTGTCAGCTGGCAACAGAAAACTCCATATTACTTTCTTGTTACACAGATCATGACCATAAATGCCCATAGGGATTCAAAAGTACCTTACATTACAAATAGGACACAAAAGAAAACAGTGGCACTTTAGTTTTTTTCATTGGCAGTACTTTGATAACCAATTATGTTCATGTGGTGCTCTGCTGCCTTTCCGAGAATTCTGCAACAGTAATGGCTGTGCTGGTTGTGCATACAAACAGTCCTTTTGGTGTTTAGGCACAAACTTATGTTCAGGGTACTGAGGAAATCCCAGTGATAGGGAAAGTCATTTAGCCACCAGTAGAAAAGAAAATAGTGTAGTCATCATACAAATGCTTTAAATAATTGAGGGCTACACATTATTTTAATTTCTATGCAGTTGAAATGTTCTGGAGGAAAAATGGTTTACTACATAAATTATCAAATGTTTCATGTAAATAAATAAGGTCCACTATACAGAGGGACAATAGATTTTTTCAATTTGTCTATGAACATATCAAAGTGGTATGTTATCATAGTTAAATCTGTTACTGTAAGAAATTTAAAGTGCACACTGAGATATATAATCATTTATCATGCCTAACAAATGCTAGATTTCATACCTGGGAGAAGTTTTTACTTTCTCCAGCACTTTCTAGGCTATCATTTGTGTTTTCTTCCTCTTGTTGCATTTCATATGTGTCAGGAAAGTGGGATACAGATGGTATGCGTACATCCTGATTGATGGTAAATTTCAGAAGGTCAAAGTACCACAGACGTGGTATGTAGATGTCCTCGCCAGAAGCACCAGATTTTATTGATGCCTCTACTTTCTTTAACTCTTTCTTGAATACTGTTCGTAAATTTGCAATTTTTTATGTTTAACAAGGTCTACAGTTGCTGAGGGACAAACCCTTTTACAAAGATCGGTTAGTTTTTCGTATGCCTCTGCTTTTTTCTGCCTATTGGAGTAATCAGAACATTTTACTTTCCACAAGCAAGGTAAAGACTTATACATTTCAATAAATTCTTTTAGAAACTCTGGGTTCATAAAAATTTCTGTTGATGTTTTCTTCTTTGCAAGGACCTACACAAAAAAGGGGAAAGAAAAATACAATTTTTATTAATGTACTGTTACACAGTTCATATTTGGAGCATTACTTTGAAAGCTAAAACCCTGAATATTGTATGTAACATGATGTTCTTCAGCACTAACTCGCTTTAGCATGCCCTTTCATTAAATGTATTATTGGCTTTTGTGGGGTAACTAAGCTGTTAAAGATAATGCAAATGTGAGGTATTAAATTTGTTCCTGCAAAGAGCTTGATAAACGGCATTAAATTAGAAGTTTCCAGCGCAAGCACCCTGTAGTACCTGCCAGTATCTGTGTTAAGCCCTAACTTTAGAACTTTACAAGTGTCAATAAGCCCAAATCATCATATACCGTCAAACATATGCTAAATTACAATATGTGAAGCTACAGCATTTGTTTTCTGTAGATTACAAAAAACTTGGTTGATCATCCTATTCACTGTCTTACCCTTCTGTATGTTTCCCCTCTGCGGCCTTAGATTGTGTAGACCAGCCATTGCCATATCCACTGAGCAGTTTCACTTCCCTTCTAAGCCATTCATTTCCTCCATTTTTCTTGTATGTGCAGCCCACATGATTGTAGGGTCACGTACGTGGGTGAATACACAGTGGTAAATGACAATTCCCTCTCCCCTTCCTCCTACATGTCCTTCTACTGTTAAAGACTATGAAGGTGGGATATAAGATGTTGATTGAAAAACGCTTCACCACCCTGTTAGTCTCAGCACACGTACACCACAGACACAGGCTGGAGGGGAGTGACACAGCTTGTGATTTGCAAACCTTCCTCCAGATATATTTACAGTGCAAACAAAGTGAAAGCTATTGTTAGTCACATCAAACTCTGCTTACACTATGTTATTACTGCAAAAAAATTAAATAAACAGCGCTGTGCAGACACAGATTCATAGTCCAGACATCCTCTGCTGCTATAAAGAATACATCAGCAGAGTGCTAGAAACTCCACCTTCAGATCTTTCCTTGAGGATGGGAAAGACCTGGGAAGCATCATGTGACTGCTAAACAGCAATGATTAAAGAAGGTACTCAGATGCTTTTTTATATTAAATACAGTTGCATAAATAAAAGGGATGATGGTAATTAAACATCGTATGTTTAGTATCACTTTAATGATTGTCAATTAAGCCCTGCCCTCCATCATACACTTGTCAGTTGCCTAAGCTTTTTCTGCTCACAGAAGTTCTTGCCATTGACAGTATTGAATAGCAAGGTATGAGAATAAGCATAGGAAGGAACACAGCTTAATCCCAAATTGGAGAAAATCTAGCTCCTAGCTGTTTGGGTCCCTGACATCCAAAGGGATTCTCAGGCATAAAAGGATCAGTTTTAAGAGTAACACAGGTACAGAAAGCAACACAATACAACTGCACTCAAGAACTACTATTACCATTGGCAGTTTATAGGCTAGAAAAACAGTGAAAACCATCAGCACAGTTAATAAAAATCCATAAATGCATGAAAATAACACTAGAAAACAAAATAATTGATGCCGACACATCAATACGTGCTTTTCACCATATTTCAATGTAGAAAGTCCTCCACGATGCAGCTCAATCCCATTAGATGGGAAGGCTAGCACAAGTTTGCCTTAAAGTGGTTGCAAATCCTTACATATACCCAGTAAAGTGACTGGCCTCAGGTTATACACCAAGATGAAACATCCTTCTACAAAAGTTGTACCTGTCCATCTGCAGCCACCTTTCCCCTACATCCATTCAAAGTGCTAAATTTACACAGGATCTCTCAGCTTTGAAGAGCTAAAGTTACATCAGTGAGGAGAGCTCTGACAGCTGATTGAAGGGAAGAGATACCACCTCCCCTCCACACAACACACAGGAACTGAGGTTGTCAATTTGCTTGAGCTCCCTACCCTGTCACCTTTTCTCTCTTGGTGTCAGGAAAACTTGTCAGAAGTGACTCATGCTGATAGCACAGGAACGAAGCAGCAGATAGAAATGATACTTAGTGCTCTGGATTGAGACAAGCACAATCTATAAAGGGACATGCTTTGTTCATATTTCATGAACAACCACTTTAACCTATCTATTTTTGGGGGCAATTGAAGCCTATATGGTCAGACAAGCATTTTGGCATGCTTTAATTATTTGAAAATAAATAACTGATGTGCCTACCAACATTATTTTTACAATGATTGTCTTTCAGAAAAAAGGCTTTTATTTGGTACAGTGAAATGTACAATTTAACCGGTTGCCGACCAGCCACAGTACATATACTGCGGCAGGGTGTCACCGCTGCGCAAAATTACGTATATATACACGTGATTTTGCATATCGGGTAGGGGGCGCGCACGACCGGGTCCTGGCCGGTCATTACCCGCCGGGTCCCGGCGATTGCCGGCAAACAGTGACACAGAGCACAGCTTCCCTGTCAGTTTCCAGCACACTGTTCCGGAGAGCAGAGCTTAGCTTTCCAGGACAGTCTGTAACCATGAAGTACACCCCCCCGCCCACTGGTAAAGCACTCCCCTCACACAGTTAACCCTTTGATTGCCTAAAAAAGTTAACCCCTTCCTCCCCAGTGCCATTAGTACAGTGTCAGTGGGTTTTTTTGCATTGATTTTTTATGAAGGTTAGTAGAATAAGGTGAGTACATAATACAAGCACTGCACGAATTGCACTGAAAAGAAGCAACAGCCACAACGTGTCTCAGGCCATGACACCACACGTACTGAAGGCGTGTTGTGTTGTGTAGAGCGGCCAGTGCCTGAGAGCAGGAAGCAGCCGGTGGACATGCGCAGTTCTGGGAGAAGTGAGAGGCAGAATGTATGTTGCCACATTTTGCTGGCTGGTAGCTGAAAAGTAGGGAACCTTATTTGGAGAGTGAAAAACAGTTTTTAACAGCTGATAATTGCTTGTGGTTGCAATTGTTATATTTTCCTCTTTGGGATCTTTGCTAGCAGCTTTTTAAAACACCATTTCTGTTACTTTTTTAACCACTTGCCCTACAGAAGATTTACCCCCTTTCCTGACCAGGTCATTTTTGCAATAGGGCACTGCGTTACTTTAACTGACAATTGCGAGGTCATGCAACGCTGTACATAAATTTAATTTATGTCCTTTTTCCCCCCAAATAGAGGTTTCTTTCAGTGGTATTTTATCACCTGTGCGTTGTTTATTTTTAGCGCTATAAACAAAAAAGACAGACAATTTTGAAAAAAAAAAAAAAAAAAATAATATTTTTTACTTTTTGTTATAAAACATATCCAGTAAAACATTTCTAAGGGTGGCGTGGCGTGGCTTGGCACACAAGCCGCATGGAGGCACACTGAAAAAGCTCTGGAAAGCCTATCACTACACAGCTCTCACAGTGGGATAAATATGGGCAGAACTACAAAGCACACACAGCACAACCGCTCTCAGCCGCTGCATCTGCGTGCCATATACCGGAGATATTTCAGATAACATAAGCCCTGAGAAGCAGCCTCACAGCAGGCAAGATGGTGATCCCTCGACATGAAGAAGACTTCAGTGAGGAGTCACTGCCTACCTCAGAAGACCTGGTAAGAGAAACCACTCAATCTGAACCACTGACATACTCAGAAATGACCCATGTAGCTGCAGACCTGAAAAGATCATTTCAAGCAGCCATAACAGATCTAAAAGAAGCTCTTCATACTTTATCAGAACAAATGGCAACACATAAGAAAGCTGGTATACAGAGAGACAGAGCCATATGTAGGCTTGAACATATCACAGAATCTCATGCCATGCATCTAACCGACATAAATCGCCACCTGGAAGATTTAGGCAATAGAGGGACAAGAAATAATATCAGAGTGAGTGAGAGGTATACTTGTGTTAAGTTAGCCTTTTCAAGGAAGGACTTTGACTTCAATCAGCTTGCGTTATCTGTATAAGTTTATTCAGAATAGACAATGCGATGTTTATCGGACCAAACAGCAAGATGCCGTGTGGTAAAGACAGGTTTAGAATCTTCTCTTTTTATACACATATTCTTGGCAAAAACTATCTATGGCTACATGTTTCAGGGAGGGTGGAAATTCCTAACTAACATTACACAATCATCTTGATCTTTTCAATTGTCAACTTATTTAACCACTTGCCGACAAGGCACAGTAGATATACTGCGGCAGGGTGGCGCCATTGCGCAAAATCAGGTTTTGCATTTTGGGTGGGGGGTGCGTGTGAGGCGTGCAACCGCCATACCCGCACTGCTGATGTCAATCACCGGGTCCTGGCCGCTGATCACCCTCCTGGAGCCCGCTGTTTACCGGCAAACACTGACAAGGAGGACAGCTGCATTGTTTTCAATTTCAGGTAAGGGGTGCGTGCGAGGCGTGCAACCACCCTACCCACACCGCCAATGTCAAACACCGGGTCCTGGCCGCTGATCACCCTGCCGGAGCCCGGTGATTACTGGCAAACACTGACAAGGAGGACAGCTGCATTGTTTTCAATGCAGCTCTCCTCCCTGTCAGTTTGAGCACACTGATCCGGATGGATGAGTACAGCCTTCCAGATCAGTGTGCTTACAGTGAAGCACACACCCCCCGCCCCCTAGTGAAACACTCCCCTCACACAGTTAACCCTTTGATTGCCTTCTAAAGTTAACCCCTTCCTCCCCAGTGTACAGTGTCAGTATTTTTTTTTGCACTGATCACTGTATTGGTGTCACTGGGGTTGTCAGTGACCCCAAGCCAGTTCCCCCCGGTGTCAGAATGTCCGCCGTAGTCCCGCCATAAGTCGCTGATCGCCGCCATTATTAGTTAAAAAAAAATAAAAATTCCAGTATCTATACTGCTATTTGAAAACGCTATAACTTTCACATAAACCAATTATTTACATGTATTGGGATTTATTTTAGCAAAGACATGTCGCAGAATACATCAACACAACAAAGACTTTTCTGCTGCGCTAGGAAAGGACTCAGTAGACCCAATAGGAATGTTCTGGAATTT